GTGTTCTATAAAGGGGAATCCATTCCTGCTTAAATTTAGTCAAACATCTATTATAAACACTGTCAGTTTTGCCACAGCAGGATATTCACCAATTTTGGTCTCCCAATCTTGTATCTTCAACAGAATTTCACTTTTCTAACATTTTGCCAGATTCATTCTTCCATTGCCAGTGATGAGCATACCTAATACTCCCTCCTCCTTCTATTTTCCCCAGAACAACAGCTCTGCGAGGTGGGTTGGACTGAATGAGAGTGATTGATCCAAACTCACCCAGCTGGCTTTCATGGCTAAAGTGGGAGTAGAGATCACATTCTCCTCCTGGTTTCTAGACTAGTGCCTTAACCATTAGATCAAACTGTCTCTGAAGCTGTGATACTTTTCATTTATACTTTCTAGAATTATTCTCAATATTTGTGGTTTCAGTTCAAATTTTATTTTTAAGATTTTATGAATTGTGTGATGTACTTCCTTCTAATAGATTTATTTATTTATTAAACGGCCATCCAGCTCACAAGAAGTGACTCTGGAGAGTGTATAACAAAAAGTAAAACATGTCAAAAACAATCATATTGAAATAAAAACGTGCAAGAGTTTAGATCAGCAAAGGGAGACACCTCAAGACATCCAGGCCTGATGACATAGCCAGATCTTGAGGGAGTTCTGGAAGATAAGTAGGAATGGAGAAGGTAACACTTCAGGAGGGAGAATATTCCGTAAGGTGGTTACCATGCCAGAGAAGGTCTACCTCCTTGGGCCCACCGTGTATTTATCTCACAATGGGACCTGCAGCATGCCTCATGGCAGATATAATGAGATGAGCAGATGTAGTTGGGATAAGGTGGTCCCTCAAATAACCTGGTCGTGAAGAATTTTAAAACCAGCAGCACCTTAAGTTGGACTCAGAAGTAAACTGGCAACCAATGCAGTTCTTGGTATGGAGGTGTAATGTATTCTATTCTAGAACCACTCGTAACTGCCCGTGCTGCTGTACGGTGAAGCTTCCGGATATTCTTCAAGGGCACCCCATATTGAATGCATTACAGTGTGACTTTTTTGCATGACTGTATATGATAAAATGTTCCTTTTTATTGTGGTATTTTCAACATCTATTGGTATAGGATTTGTCCATCTTGGTAATAATTGGATTAATCACAGTCTACTAAGATGGAACAGAATGAACAGAGATGGCACAAATTAAAATCACTGTCTTCTAAGGACATTAAAGGTAGGAATGTATAAGTATGGCTATTCCAAGCCTGCCTGGGTTTGCAAAAGTTGGTTTAGAAACATTAAAGGCGAGAAGCAAATGATATGTTAAGCAGAAACTAAGTAAAGTATATTATGGCTTAAGATGATGTATAAATCTAATTAGTATGCAATTTGTTTTTTGCTATTGTAGATTTGCTTTTGTTATAACTATAGTTATTATATTAAATTAGATGCATTACACTATTACTATAACAATGGGATCAATCCTAGTTAACCCACATTTATGACAGTTTTTAAATGAATTCCCAAGTATAATCAGGGCTCCTATTATGTATACTATTATGTAATACATCATATTAGTGAATGTAATGCTAAAGCAAATCCAGCTGTATTTATTTGTTTATTATTAAAACATTTAAACTGTCCAATAGATGGAGCTCTCTGGAAGATTTACAATAAAATGCACTTAAAAATACAATCTGAATATAAGCCTATATTATAAAATAAAAGCATATATTATAGAATCAAATAAAATACAGAATTTAAAAACACCATATAAACTAGGTAGCAACATGGTGGCATTTAAATTGCTAAGAATTAACATCAAATTAAAAATCAATGAAAAGGGAATTGTGTTCATTTTTTTTATATATCTCCTCATGTTATTTGTTATCATATCTTCTTCGATTAGATTCATATAAGCTGCCTCACCCAGACTTTTTCTGCTGCTGTAGTCTGCATGATGGATGAGTCAGTCCAAGTTAAAAAATGGGTTAATATGAAGCAACTGCTAACATGTTCTTGTCTGCAAAATGCGTAGTAAAGTGCATAGGGAAGTATATTCAGAGAAGCATCTCGTACATCTTTTAATGGAATTATACATTTCAAAGACAGAGCTGGTTTTTATGCATTAGATATTGTTATTCATGACACAGATGGACTATTTCAGCAGTTTGAAAGTCAGTCTATTTTTAAATAATACATATTTCTTATCATATCAATTTACAGTTGTCTTAAGCCTTCCCGTGTGTAAGCTAGAATATAGAGCAGTGGTTCTCAACCTGTGGGTCGGGACCCCATTTGGGGTCGAACGACCATTTCACAGGGGTCGCCAAACAACGGAGTCCGCCATTTTTCCCTCCCTTTTCCTTAGCTGTGCTACTCCCTTTTATTCTATTGGCTTTTGAAAGCCAATAGAATAGACTCTCTTGAATAGAGACTAATTCTATTGGCTTTCAAAAGCCAATAGGAATTGTCCAGGCTGTCTCTGCCCTGCTGAGCCGCCAAAAGTCCCATTCTGCAAATGGTGCTACACCAGTTGAGTAGACCTCGACTTACGACTGGTTGAGTAGTCCTCGACTTACGACCGGTTGGGGGGTCACGGCATTAAAAAGGTTGAGAACCACTGATATAGAGAGTAATCCTTCTGAACCTGATACTACTCAGTTGTTTTGAAACTGAAACTGTAATTCCCATCCAGCCTGAAAGCATTAATGAAAAAAAGGAATGCATGTGAAATGGAAGAACCCAGAAAAGAATTACTCTCGGAATTAAAACCCATTGAAGTCTGTCTTTCATGTTACATGGCTGTACTGAGATGCACCTATAACAGGTTATGCTGGTATTCTCCATTGCTTGTAGCTTCTTTACATGCACGTCCATGTAAAGTGCATTGCAGTAATTTAAGAGGGCGAGGATTAAAATCAGTGCTTGTGAGAAGGGCCTCCCAAACCAAGAATGGGTAGCACCGTCTCATAACATAAATTGTAGATGAAGATTCTTTTGGTCTTGGTTGCCACCTGTTCCTGTTCAAACCTGTCCCTACAAACTGAACGCCCTATCTGGAAATGTGTTACCCCATCCAAGTCAAAGCTGAAAGTTCCTAGGAACTTCCTTAGTGCAGCAACTACAGCAGTGTTTCTCAACCTTGACAATTTTAAGGCATGTGGACTTCAACTCCCAGAATTCCACAGCCAGCAACGCTGGCTGTGGAATTCTGGGAGTTGAAGTCCACATGCCTTAAAATTGTGAAGGTTGAGAAACACTGAACTACAGCCATTCAAATTTCAGGACCCCACCCACCCCGCCTCCTAACCATAGTACAGGACCTTGACAGCATCATTTGCCAGTTTTGAGATTAAGTTGTATAACTGGGTGTCATTAGCATTAGATAATACTAGATTCTGTGTTGTTGAATGACTTCATGGAAATGTTAAATGGCAAGAATCTTAGATTGCTCTTTCAAGATTGACTGGAACTGAACTACAGAGATAACAGAAGAAGCATTGCATCATCATGTCTCATCTCTTCCCCCACCCCCTCTTATAGCTGGTTCTGAAGGATGCCATGTTTGAATAATAATGCAGATGAGAAATCAGTAAGGACCAGGATAGTTTCACCATCTCAATCTGGCCCTTTCAGAGGTCATCCCCAAATGTGACCAATACCCTCTATATCAGTGGTTCTCAACCTTTTTAATGCCACGACCCCCAACCGGTCGTAAGTCGAGGACTACTCAGCCGGTTGTAAGTCGAGGACTACTCAACTGGTGCAGCACCATTTGCAGAATGGGACTTTTGGCATGCTCAGCAGGGCAGAGGCAGCCTGGACAATTCCTATTGGCTTTTGAAAGCCAATAGAATTAGTCTCTATTCAAGAGAGTCTATTCTATTGGCTTTCAAAAGCCAATAGAGTAAAAGGGAGTAACACAGCTAAGGAAAAGGGGAAAAAAATGGTGGACTGCGTTGTTTGGCGACCCCCGTGAAATGGTTGTTCGACCCCAAATGGGGTCCCGATCCACAGGTTGAGAACCACTGATCTAAGTGGTGTAGACTATTTAGATAAATAAATAGAATATAAATGGCTCCTGTTGTATTCTTTTGCTATATAAAACTTATAGAGATTATTTACATTTCTTTGGTGTACTCTCCTGTTTGTCTGGATTTTGTAACAGACCTTGTAATCCTGACAATATCTGTTTCTCTATTAAGTACAAATGTTGCTACACTAGATACAGATCCTTTGATTTGTTGGTATTGTTTTATAATAGTAATGTAGAGTTGTGATTTACAATGATTTCTGGCAAGGGTTTATTATATAGAAAAAATGTGAAGGAATGTCTAACTGAGCCTTAGAAATTCCTAAGGTGAAATGATACTTTATTTTTTCCTATACTGAAATGATGTTAGACATAGAGGTCATATCTGTACATGGGGCCAAGTCCTTTCTGCAGAATTTAAATTTGTCAGCCTAATCAGGTAGATCAGACAGGAAACATGACCAGATAAGCTAATTCTTCTTTATTGTATGGGTAGTCCTTGACTTAGAGGACTTAGAGTTAGAATTATAATTACAAAAGTGATTTATGTCCATTTTTCACACTTTTTCACACTTATGACCATTGCAGCGTCCCAATGGCCACGTGATCAAATTTCAGATGCTTGGCAGCTGTCACATATTTATGACTGTTGCATTGTCCTGAGATCATGTGATCCCCTTTTGCGATCTTCTGACGAGCAAAGTCAATGGGGAAGACAGATTGACTTAGCAAACGTGTTCCTAACTTAAACAACTCCAGTACAGTGGTTCACTTGACAACTGTGGCAAGAAAGGTAATAGGGTAAAATTCACTTAACAAATGTCTCACTTAGCAACATAAATTTTGGGCTCAGTTGTGACCATAAGTCGAGGACTACTTGTATTTTGTAAAGCATTTTTGTTTTAAAATTTGTTCCATTTTAATATTTTTAGAAATTAAAGTGTTGCTTCAACTGTGAAACATTCTCTTTCAGATCTGCTTTCTCTTGTTTGCGATATTGTATATTGTTTCCTACTTCATTATCAGAAGATACAAGAGGAAAGCAGGTAACTCGTTTCGTATTCATTTATTTTCTATAATAAATTATAATAAGTAATAAATAATAATAATAATAATAAAGTTGGAAGGGATACATATCTATTTATGGAATAAATATTGTAATATAATTGCATGTGATCTGAGAGCTTTACCAAACAAATTACACCACTATTTTCTTTTCTTTTTCCCAATTTGCATTTATTATGAGTCCTTTCAGTTTATTAACTTTTTTTAAAACAGTATTTTTCCTAAAATGTATTTGCTGAGAAATCACACTGGGGAAATGCTGTTGTGTTTATATCCTGCTTGCATATATCCCAGTAGAGCTAGAAGTGACCTGTTTTTCTTAAGTATTTCATTTATATCTTTTAACTTGCATATAATAATAATAATAATAATAATAATAATAATAATAATAATAATAATAATAATAAGTAGTAGTAGTATAGTAGTAGTAGTAGTTGGAAGGGACCTTGGAGGTCATCTAGTCCAACCACCTGCTCAGGCAGGAAAACCTATATCATTTCAGACAAATGGCTGTCCAGTTTCTTCTTAAAAACTTCCAGTGTTGGAGCATTCACCGCTTCTGGAGGCAAGTTGTTTCACTGGTTAATTGTTCTAATTGTCAGGAAATTTCTCCTTAGTTCTAGGTTGCTTCTCTCCTTGACTAGTTTCCATTCGTTGCTTCTTGACCTGCCTTCAGGCGCTTTGGAGAATAGCTTGACTCCCTCTTCTTTGTGGCAGCCCCTGGGATATTGGAACACTGCTATCATGTCCCCCCTTATCCTTCTCTTCATTAAACTAGACATACCCAATTCCAGCAGCCGTTCCTTATATGTTTTAGCCTCCAGTCCCCTAATCATCTTTGTTACTCTTCTCTGTAATCTTTCTAGAGTCTCAGCATCTTTTTTATATCGTGGTGACCAAAACTGGATGCAGTATTCCAAGTGTGGCCTTACCAAGGCATTGTAAAGTGGTATTAATACTTCACATGATCTTGATTCTATCCCTCTGTTAATGCAGCCTAGCACTGTGTTGGCTTTTTTGACAGTTGTTTGTTCATTTACTATTACCTTCTTTATTTTATGATCCCACCAGTTCTTGCTTGCAGGCAAATGGTATTTCTTTCAGATCCTCCAGTGCACCATTATTGCTACTTTGTCATATTGTTGTTTGTAGTCAGTCTGGGCAATCTTCTTGCATCACGTAACCAGATAGTCCACTATTTCTTCAACTTCTTTGAAGAGGTGACCCTTGCTATCTATTGCTGTCTTCTCAATTATTGCTTGTTATGCATTTGTTTCTAAAGATTGTTTTGTGCAACCAGAATTAGCCCATCTGTCTCTTTCTGTAAGTTTCCGGCTCTTAGCCATTGCCAAATCTTGTTATAATCTGCTTTGCCTGTTATTTTTTTTAATATACATGTAGTACTTAATCTTCCCATGCCTCTTTTCTGACTTTTATTTGGTCCTTCATATAGACCATTTTGGTCTCTCCACTATTCAGGAAACCATCCTGGTATACTAGTATCAGTGCATCTTTTTACTGTCCTTCAGATATTCTTCTAATGCCCTTTTTTCTTCTTCAACCGTCTGACTATACTTGCAACATTCCATGCCCACATATTTTCCTAGGTAAGTAGAGTTTGTAAATGTTTCTCTGAGGAGACAGGACATGATTCATTATCATTATTTTTCTAGTCTTCCTATCTAGGGCTTTTAGTTCTGTTTGAGTCACTCCATTATTCCAGCTATGTCTCTAATGACTGGAATTGCCCAGGTGTTAATTGCCTTGATGGTATTTCCTCCACTGAATTGGATCTTCCTTACTCTCTTAATGTATTTACTTCTAATCTTTTTCTTGACTTCAGTGGGCTTGATGTTGTCAGCTTGAAAGGTGCTTGTGGTATCATCTTCATCCAGATCTTGATGTTATTTCCATCTTGATTCCTTCAGTTTTCACTATTATTCCCCGTTGGATGGCGAGCATAGCTCATTAGTCCGGTCCATTGCAATATCTTGACTATATATATGGACAGTGCTGTGCAGCGATTCTATTTCAGATGGTGTTTTTCCATACTGCTCCAGATCATCCATGTAAAGGAGGTGGGATATTCTGGCAGATGTTTTTGATGTTTGATGGTCATGGCCTGAGTTATTCAGTATTGTTGACAGAGGGTGGCGACGTTTCGACGAAGTCCCATTTGTCATCTTCAGGCTGGTGTTTTCAGCTTCGTGCACGAAGCTGAAAGCTGAAGCTGAAAACACCAGCCTGAAGATGACAAATGGGACTTCGTCGAAACGTCGCCAAGACAATTCCAATTTTACGCGGGAGAAAACCCGAACAACCAAAGACCTACATACAAATACCCGCGAAAACCTCAGAAAACATATATATATTACACTCTTATGAAGCCACATTACTAGCTATCCATGGGACAATGTTATATATCTATATATATATATATATATATATATATATTATATATATATAATATATATATATATATATATATATGTTTTCTGAGGTTTTCGCGGGTATTTGTATGTAGGTCTTTGGTTGTTCGGGTTTTCTCCCGCGTAAAATTGGAAGTGTCTTGGCAACGTTTCGACGAAGTCACATTCGTCATCTTCAGGCTGGTGTTTTTAGCTTCTTGCTTTGAGCAGCAATGTGTGGTTTTAGCTGTTTCTTCCTTTTAACTGCCAGTGAGGGTATGAACTGATTGGATGGGAGCTTGGCTGTGTTCTGATTGGGTGGAGGTGTGTTCTGAATGGTTAGGGGCTTGGCTGTGCTCTGATTGGCTGGGGGAGTGTTCTGTTTGGTTGTGCTCAGGTTAGTCTGAGTTGCAGAGGGGTTTAAGATTTTGGGGTTAGGGAGTCGTTTGTCAATAAGGGCAGGTTTCCAAATGGCTGGTAGGCGGGAGGTATCATCTCGCTTGTTCATGCTGTGTGGGGCGTTTTTTCTATATATATAGGTCTTTGGTTGTTCGGTTTTCTCCCGCATAAAATTGGAAGTGTGTCTTGGCAACGTTCGACGAAGTCACATTCGTCATCTTCAGGCTGGTGTTTTTAGCTTCTTGCTTTGAGCAGCAATGTGTGGTCTGACCAACCACTGCCTATCCAACACATACTTCATCTATAATGGACAAAAATACAAACAAACAGAAGGAGCACCCATGGGATCACCCCTCTCACCTGTCATTGCCAACCTCTACATGGAACACTTTGAAACCCAAGCTCTAGAAAAATCGGATCACAAACCCAAACTCTGGCTCAGATACGTAGACGACACCTTCATAATCTGGCCACATGGGAAAGAAAAACTGGACAACTTCCTCACACACCTCAACAGCCTACACCCCAAAATACAGTTCACCATGGAAACAGAAACTAACAACCAACTTCCCTTCCTGGATGTCTTAGTCTACAAGAAATCCAATGGCTCCCTAGGACACACCATCTACCAGAAGAAAACACACACAAACCGCTATCTGCACGCTCTCTCACACCACCACCCAGCACAGATCAACTCTGTAGCCAAGACACTCATCTCCAGAACAAAACGCTTAGCTGACGAACAACACCTAAAACCCGAACTACACACTCTCACCAATGTACTAACATCCAATGGATTCCATAGAAATAAGATTACAAACCTAATCCAAAAAGAAACCCCCACCAAAATCCAAGACAAAGAACAAGAAAACGGCAAAGCCCTCCTCCCATACATAAAAGGCACCACAGACAGAATCAGTAAGATCCTCCATAAACACAACATCAAAACAGCATTCTGCACAAACAGAAAAATATCCACCATCCTTAGAAACCCCAAAGATAAAATTGAATTAGAAAATCAAGGAGTATACGAAATCCCATGCACCACTTGTCCCACCACATACATCGGACAAACCAACAGAAGAATAAGTGCACGCATTGAAGAACATAAGAACTCAGTCAAAAAAGAGGAACCAACATCTTCCCTGGTCCAACACCTTAAAGCCACAGGACATGAAATTGACTTTAAAAATACCAGAACCATTGCCAAAAGTGAACATTTTAATAACAGAATAATCAGAGAAGCCATCGAGATAGAAAAACGCCCACACAGCATGAACAAGCGAGATGATACCTCCCGCCTACCAGCCATTTGGAAACCCGCCCTCATTGATAAACGACTCCCTAACACAAAAAATGATACCAGACCCACACTCACAAAAACCACACAGGAGGTCACCACCAAACATCCACGCAAAAAACAAACCCAAAGCCACACTGACTATGAGGCACGACCACAAACCAGAAGCCAGACCACAGCTGCATCATTAGCCACTTTAAACCCCCCCAATCCATACATGAAGCAAACTGACACCCTCCATGAAGAGGAAGCACGACCACGAACGCGAAGCCAAGGAATGGCAGGCAGCCCAAAATCTTGAATCCCTCTGCAACTCAGACTAACCTGAGCACAACCAAACAGAACACTCCCCCAGCCAGCCAGCCATCCAATCAGAGCACAGCCAACCCCCCAGCCAATCAGAGCACAGCCAAGCCCCTAACCAATCAGAACACACCTCCACCCAATCAGAACACAGCCAAGCTCCCACCCAATCAGTTCATACCCCCACTGGCAGTTAAAAGGAAGAAACAGCTAAGACCACACATTGCTGCTCGAAGCACGAAGCTGAAAACACCAGCCTGAAGATGACGAATGGGACTTCGTCGAAACGTCGCCAAGACACTTCCAATTTTACGTGGGAGAAAACCCGAACAACCAAAGACCTACATACAAATACCCGCGAAAACCTCAGAAAACAAATATTGAACCTCTACGGGGAGGAAATCCACCATCTGACCAGGACCTATGAAAAACTTGAAGTCCAAAGAGCTTCCATTTTATGCGACCTCGCATTCCTACGCAACTGCCGAGATCAAAATCTAATCCCCACATGTTTCCAACTGAAATTCCACTCCAACTCTGCAGCCACCAAACGGATCCTGAAAAGAACAGAATTGGCCCTAATCAGAAATGAACTTCACACAAAAAGATTCCTCCTAGACCGAATTAACAAAGATCTCCTCACACTCCACCTCAAACTCAGCAACAAGATCCACCCCGCACTTTGGGACAAATCCAAACAACTTGCCGTCTGGAGAGCCGAAACACAGACCACCCTCAAGACAGATACACACACCAACAAACTCCGAAGACTACAAGAACGCCAGAAACAAACCCCTCCTCCCTCACAGCCACACATGAAACAAACAGTGCATAACATCTCAGATAGGATCCTCACCAAAGCCGAAACCAATGTCCTTTCCAAAGGATTCAACTTTGCAGTCGCTCCCAAACACATCCCCACTGAAACCATTATATGTGGAGTTGAAACCAGCCTGACCAAAATCAACCCCGACGACGCTAACAGAATCAGACTCGAAATCACCAACATCCTCTGCACCAGCAAGCCACCCAAAAGCAACTTACCCAAAGAGGAACAGACAGCACTACGTAACCTGAAAGAAGACACCAGCATAATAATCCTACCAGCAGACAAGGGCAACGCCACGGTGGTTATGAACACATCTGACTACCAAACCAAATTAACCAACCTACTCCAAGACTCCACATACAAACCCCTAAATACAGATCCCACCACCTACCTGGAAAAAACCACCAGATCCAAATAAAAGCCTCCCCCATTAGCGAAGAGATCCAGCAAAGAATCATTCCCAGAGAGAAATCATCCAGATGCCCCAAACTCTATGGTCTCCCCAAGATACACAAGGAAGGAACCCCACTCAGACCTATAGTCAGCTCCATAGGCTCACCTCTACAAAACCTAGCCAAATTTCTCGCCAAACAACTACAGCCCTATGCAGAATCCATTACCTCACACGTAAAAAACTCATTCCAGTTTATAGAGATCATAAAGAAACAAAACTTACAGCCCAGCGACCTACTAGTGAGCTTCGATGTCATATCCCTCTTCACACAAGTGCCTATCAAAGAAGCCTTGACAGCTATCCAAAACAAATATAACCCCCCCAAACACATCTTAGATCTGACCAACCACTGCCTATCCAACACATACTTCATCTATAATGGACAAAAATACAAACAAACAGAAGGAGCACCCATGGGATCACCCCTCTCACCTGTCATTGCCAACCTCTACATGGAACACTTTGAAACCCAAGCTCTAGAAAAATCTGATCACAAACCCAAACTCTGGCTCAGATACGTAGACGACACCTTCATAATCTGGCCACATGGGAAAGAAAAACTGGACAACTTCCTCACACACCTCAACAGCCTACACCCCAAAATACAGTTCACCATGGAAACAGAAGCTAACAACCAACTTCCCTTCCTGGATGTCTTAGTCTACAAGAAATCCAATGGCTCCCTAGGACACACCATCTACCAGAAGAAAACACACACAAACCGCTATCTGCACGCTCTCTCACACCACCACCCAGCACAGATCAACTCTGTAGCCAAGACACTCATCTCCAGAACAAAACGCTTAGCTGACGAACAACACCTAAAACCCGAACTACACACTCTCACCAATGTACTAACATCCAATGGATTCCATAGAAATAAGATTACAAACCTAATCCAAAAAGAAACCCCCACTAAAATCCAAGACAAAGAACAAGAAAACGGCAAAGCCCTCCTCCCATACATAAAAGGCACCACAGACAGAATCAGTAAGATCCTCCATAAACACAACATCAAAACAGCATTCTGCACAAACAGAAAAATATCCACCATCCTTAGAAACCCCAAAGATAAAATTGAATTAGAAAATCAAGGAGTATACGAAATCCCATGCACCACTTGTCCCACCACATACATCGGACAAACCAACAGAAGAATAAGTGCACGCATTGAAGAACATAAGAACTCAATCAAAAAAGAGGAACCAACATCTTCCCTGGTCCAACACCTTAAAGCTACAGGACATGAAATTGACTTTAAAAATACCAGAACCATTGCCAAAAGTGAACATTTTAATAACAGAATAATCAGAGAAGCCATCGAGATAGAAAAACGCCCACACAGCATGAACAAGCGAGATGATACCTCCCGCCTACCAGCCATTTGGAAACCCGCCCTCATTGACAAACGACTCCTAACACAAAAAATGATACCAGACCCACACTCACAAAAACCACACAGGATGTCACCACCAAACATCCACGCAAAAAACAAACCCAAAGCCACACTGACTATGAGGCACGACCACAAACCAGAAGCCAGACCACAGCTGCATCATTAGCCACTTTAAACCCCCCCAATCCATACATGAAGCAAACTGACACCCTCCATGAAGAGGAAGCACGACCACGAACGCGAAGCCAAGGAATGGCAGGGCAGCCCAAAATCTTGAATCCCTCTGCAACTCAGACTAACCTGAGCACAACCAAACAGAACACTCCCCCAGCCAATCAGAGCACAGCCAACCCCCCAGCCAATCCCCCAGCCAATCAGAGCACAGCCAAGCCCCTAACCAATCAGAACACACCTCCACCCAATCAGAACACAGCCAAGCTCCCACCCAATCAGTTCATACCCCCACTGGCAGTTAAAAGGAAGAAACAGCTAAGACCACACATTGCTGCTCGAGGCACGAAGCTGAAAGCACCAGCCTGAAGATGACGAATGGGACTTCGTCGAAACGTCGCCAAGACACTTCCAATTTTACGTGGGAGAAAACCCGAACAACCAAAGACCTACATACAAATACCCGCGAAAACCTCAGAAAACATATATATATATATATATATATATGTGTGTGGTGTGTGTGTTGTGTGTGTGTGTGTGTGTGTGTGGTGTGTGTGTGTGTGTGTGTGTGTGTTTTCTGAGGTTTTCACGGGTGTTTGTATGTAGTCTTTGGTTGTTCGGGTTTTCTCCCGCGTAAAATTGGAAGTGTCTTGGCGACGTTTCGGCGAAGTCCCATTCGTCATCTTCAGGCTGGTGCTTTCAGCTTCGTGCTTCGAGGAACACTCTTATGAAGCCACATTACTAGCTATCCATGGCTACATGCTCTTCGATTCTATGTGGTATAGGTTCTCCTGCTTGAGTAGGGGGCTGGACTAGAAGACCTCTAATGTCCCTTCCAGCTCTATTCTATTCTAGTATGAAAAGAAGGACTACTCCAACTTTCTGTTTGCACATCCCTTACACTTTAGCAGGCTGCTTGAGAGTCCCTTGCTGGAATAATCTTGGACTGGAGATTAAAATGGGCATAACTAAGAGATTCTTTTTAGATGCTGCAAATTTCTTTTAACTGGAAAGACTTTGCATCTGATAAGAAATAAGCTTGGTTACAAAGTTAATTCTTTAGGTAGCTTGATTTTATGGTTATTTGTAACTGATTATCTTATAAATACAATATTCATACATTTTAAAGAGTAAATTAGCTTTCTCTTTCTGGTCACTAAAGGTAAATTTTTTTTTTATTCTATTGAATGACTCGTTTATGACATAATTATTGTATAGGTTAATCAGGAGAGCATCCTAATCAATGATTTATTTAGATCTGGACCCATGACCAGTCCAGAAATGTTTCTTTTGAACATTGTGAGACAGTTACATGATATAAAATAATAGTGTTCCAAAACCAGCTTATAGGAGGTAACTTTAACTGATATCTTTGATTTGTTAAATGGAGAGTTTGTGTTGCAGATTCCCTGGCTGCTTGCTGTCTGTTCAAAAGAAAATCAAGATTTTTGTGTTATACTGCCACCTAGCTACCAAGTTACTTCCAAGTGCTTTGCTTATACTTCACGAATAGTTACATGAGTGTGATGCCTCTAGTACAGAGGTGTCAAACTCGCAACGTCACATGATGTGTTGCGACGTATTGTGACTTTTTTTCCAATGGGGTGGGCGCGGTTTTGGCATGACGCATCTGGCCTGTGGGCCGGCAGTTTGACACTCTTTCTCTAGTAAAATAGGAATTCAAAATAGCTGAAGTAATCTATAGCTACATTATATGAATAAATCAGTATATCTTAAAGAATTTAATATTAAATTCCAGTCATGAGTATCTAAATATAATTTTTCTTCTTCGTTATATTAGAGGCATGCTTTGTTTTCTAAGTGTCATCATAGCATATATGTTTCCCCCCCCCCCCAGATATATAAGACTTGCATACAGATGCAGGATTTTGAAGAGTGACATTGAATATTGAATATTTCAAATTTATGGATTAAAAACAATGAGAATAAATCAGGATGTACTTGAGCGTAATCTGTCTATTCTTTCAGTTGGATGTGAATTAAAACATGCATTGCCATTCTCATTTTGGTGCATCTAACATGCATTTAACTACTGTTCTGTAGTTCTTAGTTCTTTCTAAGTCCTGATAATAGCATATTTTAATTTACTCTATTGTATGATAGTATTATGCAATGTTATATAAATTGACAAAGGACATCTAAGTAATTCTCAGGTAGTTAAGGCTAAGCAGCTTGCAATTCCGTTTTTAAATCTTTCAGTAAAGAACACTTTAATGCAAACATTGGTGAATACCACATTAATGAAGACTGCAGTCTTTTGAATGATAACCGTATACCCTCCCCCACAAACTATCATGAATTTGAGATTTGTGAAATAACAGCCAAATATTAGAATAAAAGATAAGTACATTTTAAATTTTGATCATGCTACAGTTTCTCTTTGCCAATTGCTATTAGACAAGAAGTAAAACACTTAAGAAATGGCCATGGTATCAAAATGTAATCTAAAATATGCATTTTTTTTTCAGATGAGCAAGAGGATGAAGATGCTATTGTCAATAGAATTTCGTATGTATATCTTTACTTTCTTGGTAGATGTTAGAACTATGCAAATATAGCAACTCAAGAAGAATTTCCCTGTTTATGATTCAGGATGATGAGAATTGGTGATGGTAGTAAAGCTGAATTTTTATATTGTTTGGAAAGCATTTTTAAATGAAATATAATACTAACATCTGGCTATTTTGCTCACATTTATGTGTGAACAAAATAGATATCTGAGGACCACATGTGAAGATAGCTTATTCTTTCCTATACAGGCTATATACAGATTTAGTTTTATATAAGGCAGATTTGTGATTTATGTACAAAAGTTTTAATGAGTGAGTTCTAAGTTTGATTTAGACTATCTTCTTAGAAAATTAAAAGGCTTAGAATATGGAACGCACTTCTAAAATTATTAACTATTTATTGATTTTTATGTAAAAATATTTTTATCTATCCTTTTAGTGCTTACACGTTGATGAAGGTAGATAATAGTTCCAATGAAAATAATGTAATAGTTAAAAGAAAAATAAATGTAACTATTAAAATAGGGCATGAAATAAACTGAAATAAATAAAAAGATAGGTACAAAATAGTGGAAGTTCCTTAGATGCAGTCTTGTGTTTTGGAGACATATTCAGCCCTAAGCTGAAAATTCACTTTGGTCCATTGTTATCCAATGGTTTGTCGGATTTTTTTTTTCAAATAGAATATTGAACTCTGCAGTGGTTTTTTTTGGGAAATTACATATACATCATCAGTAATGTAATACATAGATGACGATATTTAGTTTTTTTATTTTTAACTAAATCAATAATGTGTAGATTATGTTTAGTTTTTATTTTTAATTATTTTTTTTAACCCCTAAGTTAAATTGCATTTTTGTACAAAAACATTTTTGGTGATTATATAAGGAATTGTACTTCCTATTCTTTAGAAATAATGACTGGCATTATGTTGCTCTATCTGTCCAAATAACCCACTGGGTTAAGACCTTAGGCCTGAAATTATTTCCCTGCTGTTTGCATCGTAATCCCTTCCATCAGAACGTGTAAATGGCTATTTAGTTAAGTATAACAGGATCATGGATTATCCTGTTGGATTATTAATGGGTAACAAATATTGCCTTTTTGGAATATTTGCTTGAACTGCAACAGAATATGGTTATGATTCTGATATATTTTTAAATTTGCTAATCTTTTATATGCTAACTATAGCAAAAACACAAATTTATATTGGCTATATATCTTTTTGAAAATGTGAAACTTAGTTTGGTAATATACAGAATCAAAAATATAACATAGATTAAGCTTTTTTCCTGTTTTATGAAAATGAAAGTATTGGTCTAATTACTTTATGCAAACTTTAGACCAGACATGTCAAACATAAGGCCCAGGGGCCGGATGCGGCCCGCAAAGTGGTTTCATGTGGCCCGCGAAGCCATCCTGCAAACTGTGAGGGAACGCCCCCGCTGCCTTGGCCCTGGCCCAGGCCGGCCAGGAGCCAATGTACAATTTTGTGGTGGCCATCTATGCTAAACGCATTCAGTCTTAGCTCCACAAGGCTGTCTAGAAATACCAAGGAACCTGCCCCTGCCACGTCAACCTCTCCCCCTGGGTGCATGCTGGGAAGGTGACACCCTTTGTGAGGAATGAAGAAATGGACCATGCCTTGGCGCTTGCCCCAGTCCCACCCCCTTCTGCCAGAGACCCTCAGATCTGTCCCACTCCTGCTTAGACTCCCACAGGCACCCTTGATGCGAACGATGTAGAGCTGGCCATTCCCACCCAGTAGGCCACACCCACTCCATCCACACCCACCCAGTAGGCCGCACCCACCCTGGCCACACACCCCGCTCCCCCGAGAGCAACCGCAATGCTGATGCGGCCCTCAGTGAAATTGAGTTTGACACCCCTGCTTTAGACAGTGAACAAGACATTATAAATCATAATGATTGACAAACTGGTTAAAACGGCTACTTCCTTCCTTGCCATTTCTGACAGCTGTTTTGTCATGATCATTGCCTTTCATTGCAAGTACAAGTAGTTTTTCTGTAAAGCTGAATCTACGATAACAATTTCCTTTTCTGAGGAAGACACATTTTCCTGCCTATTACCACAATTGGCTTTTTTCCCTTTTCATGTGACTAATCTTTCAAATTTTGGTATTACTCTAAACCCCAAACTTAAAATGCGTGTGGAAATTAAAAAATGTATTTCTATCTTATAATCAGTTTTTCATAATGGAATATTTAATAACTGAGGTGTTTTTATTTTCTGCATTCCATTATTCCTTGATCTGAAACATCTATGAAATGTTTTGATTACAGCTACCCTGGGGTAAGCTAGGTGACCAATAAATTCAATCAGTCATTACTTATTATCTACTCCCTTTCAAGCCAGGATATTACATAGAGCACAGAAAATGAGTAAGAGATAGTAAGCTAAATAATTAAAAGTATAAGAAAAGAAAAAAATGGTTAAAACAAGCATCTGCCCAAACTACTCGATATACTCCTCCGAATCTTTCTGTTCTTTCAGATCATCCTCCCTTCCACTACATTGACATGTTTCTTCAGATATGGTCTTTTGTCCTTCAAACTTCTCTTTCATCAGCTCTCTTCAACCATAACTTTCTCAGGCTTCCTTGTGACTCATTGGTTCTTCTTTTATGTATTTGTTTTGCAATGTGATCCTCATTCGTTCTCTCTATTTGACCACACTACTTCAATGTATTTCTTTTGTTCTGGTCCATCATTTTTGTATTCACTTCACATTCAGTCAGCACCTAATAATTTCCACCCTTTATCAATTTATGTTAACACAGATTTAAATACTCAGTTCCCACTGCATTCATTGATTACCTAAAAACACAGCTGTCACTTCCATGTAGTAAAAAGGGGCAGGAACACGGTCCTATATACAAACATTTTTTTTCAACAAGTATTCATTGTTTGGAACCACCAATGCGCTATCCACTAGTTACTTGTCATCTTAATATTTCTCCATCTGTCGTCCTGTCTTTAATAAACATCCTGTCAAGGTACACTGAATTATCTATTTGCTCTAGGTTTTTTTCTTAATAAATTACTGGCAATCCTCAATTCCTCTGATACCTATCATAAAGTCAATTTGATTTTTAGTGGAAAACATGCACCAAGCTTTCCAAAGTTTTCTTCTTCTTATCTTTTTTTACTGTTTTGACCATAATTCTGTGAAACATCACCCTAAGTGCATATTAAATCAACCTCTTTATAGTTTTTGCATTCTGTGTTGTGCCTTTCCAATAGTATAGGGAAATATAACAATATTCTTTAATGGCATACTTGTACAGGTTCTCCTTAAAAGATTTTTGAACTGAATATAGCTCTAGAAAATGCACTTGGATGTTTTCTCCTCCATATAGAAAACAAAACCAATATATTTTAATCTTACCAAGTTTTTGGAGCAAAGTTGGCAACTGCAAAGCTATGTGCATGAAATATCTATCCCCTCTCCCTGATTCAGATCTTTTACTTCCTGCAATTCTTCGGTCCAGAAGACAGATACAATTCCAGAAGAATTTCAGGAACTCAAAGATCTGAATTGGGGAGAGGGGCTAGAAGTTTCATGTATCTAGCTGGGATTTTGCAATTACAGACTCTGCTTTAAGAGCTTGATAGAATTAAAATATATTGGCTTGTTTTCTATATAGACTGTATTAAGGAAAAAATGTCCTAAGCAAAGATCAGTTGGTTTACTTAAAACTTGATCTTTAATGAGTTAATCCCTCCCCCAATAAAATCTAAAAAGCTTTTCTAAGCATGCTTATAAATATGCTTAGAGTTTTCTTTTCTTTTTTTCCAGATGTGGATCATCATTATCTCTGAGAAACTTGTTTACATTTTCCTTAATTTCACTGTTGGGATTGCCATGAGTGATGAATAGATATCTGAAAAAGATTAGCACTCATTTGCCTACAGCAGTGTTTCCCAAACTTGACCATTTTAAGGCATGTGGACTTCAACTCCCAGAATTCCACAGCCAGCAATGCTGGCTGTGGAATTCTGGGAGTTGAAGTCCACATGCCTTAAAATGGTCAAGTTTGGGAAACACTGGCCTACAGAATTAGTTGCTGAGTTCCTTGACTTTTGAAATAATGTATATGCTTTTTTGGTATTGATGTGCCCAGTTCTAGTCTTCTCCAGTAGAGGGAGTGCTTCCATTAACTCTGGACATGTTTGCTTGAACTGGCCTAGTATGTGGATGACATGCTTTTTTTAAGTACAGAATTTAATCCTGTAGAAGAAATACAGATGATTATATGATAAATCAGCATAGAGAAATTTATTAGGGTATCAGCCTTATATGTTTTATTTTTAACACAGGTTCAATTACATTTGCAGAAAATCTTTGATTGATGCAAATTATACAGCATTTATTCTACTTGAAGCATGGTAGCTTACTTATGCTTTTAGATAACATATTTGCTAAAACTTCTGTTGATTTCAAAATTGCTCCATAGAGACTAAAAACATTACTGCCACTCTGTCTTTCAGGCTGTTCCTGAGCACTTTTACTCTTGCAGTTTCAGCGGGCGCTGTGCTCCTCTTACCTTTTTCAATAATCAGCAATGAGATTCTGCTTTCTTTTCCCCAAAGTTACTATATCCAGTGGTTGAATGGTTCTCTAATTCATGGTTAGTATGATGTCATGTAACATTGCTATTTGAATGTGTGGTGTGTTATAGCTTGTGGATGCCTTTAAAGGTAGCCCTCAACTTACAACCATCTGCTTAGCAGCTGAAGTTACAGTGGCACTGAAAAAGTGACTTATGATCGGTCCTCACACTTATGACCATTGCAGCACTCTGCTCCCATGATCAAATTTTGTACACTTGGCACCAGTATGTGCTGTGTTTACCTGAAAATAAACCCCATCCCGAAAAAAACCCTACCCTGATTTGTGGGGGTGGGTCTAATATAAGCCCTACTCCAAAAATAAGCCCTAATTAGGACCCCGCTCACTCTGTCCCACCTGGCTGCCACAATGGGACAGGAGGCCGCGCGGCACATCATCACGCTAAAGAGCTTGGTGCACCATTGCCCTGCTCCTCCCTCTTCTTGCGAGTATTTCTTCACTAACGTGCTTTCCAACTTCGGCACGTTTCTCTCCTGCTGCAGGGAAACGGAGTTCGTGAGACTAAAAAAAGTTCAGTTAGACCTTCCAACTTCTTGTGTAAAAAAAAAAAAATCTCGCGAATTTGGAAGGTCTGACTGAACTTTTTTTTGTCTCACGAACTTGTTTCCCCGCAGCAGGAGAAAAACGCGCCGGAGCTGGAAATCAGATTAGTGATGACTTTTTGCTTTCGGGAAGAGGGAGGAGCTGGGCGATGGTGCGCCAAGCTCTATTATAGCAGCACCGGGGGGGGGGGGAGAAGTAGCAGGAAACGGGGCTTCCATTTCCAGAATGGAGAAGGGAGAGATGGGGCAAAGCAGGGTGGTAAGCAAGTGCTCTTCTCTGCTCTGCATCACTGCGCAGAGCCGTTCCCCTCCCCGTTCTCCATGGTGGCAACTGAGGGCTGGCGGAAAGAAGTGGCAGGGGAGGCTTGCACTGCCCAGTCATGGCGCAAGCCATGGGAGAGTTGGTGGTGGTGGTGGAGGAGGAGGCTGCTGCCGGGCAGATGATCTGTGGGGCAAAGTGCGAAGAAAGCCCCTCTAGTGGCGCACAGCGGCAGTGGAGACTTTCACTGTCACTCCTGCCTGGCTCCGAAACAGTGGAGGGTGACCCTGCCCATCCTTCATACGGTAGCATGGCAGTCTGGCTCAGGAGGGGAGTGAAAGGGAGCAAGGAATGGCCTGGCTCGGGGAGGGTCTGAAGGAAGCGGGTGCAGGGCGCATAGGGCAGCTCCACCCCCTCTCCCACCTGTCTTGCTTCGTTGTGGTGGCAGTGGTACGATGTACCACGCATCCTGCCGCGAGCGGCCACAGCAGAAGTGGGCCAGCAGCCCTGCTGGATGGGGCTGTTGATGCTGGTGCCGTGAGGCGAGGCAAGGCAGGTGTCACGGAAAATATAAGACGCTGCCCGAAAGTAAGACCTAATGCCTCTTTTGGAGGCAAAAATAATATAAGACCGTGTCTTACTTTTGGGAAACACAATATTTCTGACAGTTGCAAGGTCCTGTGGTCATGTGATCACCATATGTAGCCTTCCCAGCTGCCTTATCCAAATGCAAATCAATGGAGGAAGCCAGACTTGCTTAATGACAACATGATTCACTGCAATTATTCACTTAATAGCTGTGGCAAAAAAGTCATAACATTGGGGGCAACTCATTTAACAATCATCTTTCTTAACAATGGAAATTCTGGTCCCAATTGTCGTCGTAAGTTGAGAACTATCTCTCTACACTTCCTATCAGAATTATACAGGTATGGAAAACGGTTGTGAGAATAAAGTGGAGTAGAAACATATGGTAACTGGAGGGTTTTTAATAAATGAATAATTTGTGGGATCTGGTTATTTTAATAGAACATGGAAGCCATATCAGGAAATTGTATGTGAATTTTCTTAATAGCTAGTAATATTGTCAGCATCTTGAAATACTGAAAGTAAACATTATGTAAAATTTGAATATAGGGGTACCTCCTTACTCATTATTAATTGGTTCCGGAAGGCGTGACAAGTACTAAACATACCATGTAACTTAACATATGATCCTTTGTTTCGGCTGGAAAGGGTCATGAGGTAGCTGACACCAACAAGTTCTAGCTTGCGTGTCAAGTACCAGACAAATGACAGGTATCAACATTTTCACATCAAAATGCTTTGAGTACCAAATTCAATGAATTTTAAAGCAGTTGAGTACTGAGATATGATTGTGTATGTTACCTGGTGGTCCTCAATCATTATGAAATGGATTGTTTTTGCAATTATTTCTTACTTACATTTTCATTAAAGATACTTTTAAAAAAGTTTGGCAACCAATATTATAAAACATTCTATGAAGTAATTGTTATAGCTATTCTTTTATTTGGAATTATTTCAAAATCTTAAAAAAATGTTTACAGTTAATGTAAACACGTTGAATTTGTAGAATTTAAACAAAATAGAATGATTGTGCCATTTTTATATAATAATTTTGACAAATAGGTTGTTGTTTTAAAATAAAGACAAATTTTGTTCAACTTTAAATCTCAGTATATAAAACAAAGAGAAAAAAGGGGGATTAAAAAGTCATGAAATTCTAAAAATACATTTGCCAAATATGAGTGTTTCTTTTCTATTTCATGTGTGTCCAGCAGATGGAGATAGAATATAGTACAAGTGGCCTATGGATATAAAGCTTGTCATTTCACAAAATACTATAGGCAAGGGTGAGGCTTTATTAGAGCTGGTGAAATGCTTAATTTCTGTTTATCTTATAATAAATATCTTAATCCGATATTGCATCAGATAGAATTGCTGGCAAGAATTTTGTGTTTATTTATAAAATCCAAGATACACTATAGTTTTCTCTTTGAATACATGTATATTTTTGTCTATACATTCAGCAACCCTTATCTCATATTTTCCATTGTGTTACATCAACATACTTTTAATGTTAAAGAACTATCTTTAGAGGGGTTAGGTAGGTAAACCTGAGTCCAGTATTTATGAAGATATCAGACATAGTATAAAACAGATCATATATAGATATTTTCTGAAGTATTTTTTTCATGCACAGTTTTGCTTGCACTGCTTGCGTTAAATAAATCAGTTCTGCTACCAGTAGTAACTTTCAAAGAATCAAACAATGTTTGGTACCTAATAGAACAATTAAACATTTGCATTTGGCATTCAGTCTGATACATAATATGCTTTAAAAATTATTTCGAAGCGGGAGTATGAGAATGTAAAAGAGGCAGTTGCTTTGCCTTTAACGTGGCTCCTTAAAATAGCTGCATTTGCTTTTGGAAACCTGAAAAGACTTGCATTGATTCTGAAACACCTTGAGACACCTCATGAAGCATACAGAACTCCAATATCTGGAATCTTAAATCTTCAGAGCAGTGAACATGTCAGGAGAAATCCTGTGATTATGCTGCTAACATGATATGAAAGCTAGTAATCACCAAACAGCGTTTGAGAATGCATTTTAATTTATGGACAAATACTTTGTGTGGAAAAAAATACAGCTTACAGAACCAGACATCTTTTCAAGACCATCTAAAACTGCTGTGTTTACATCTTAAAAGATTGCCAGGAGGGGAAAAAAATTAAAAGTAATTTTTTTCTATGATATGTTTAAAATTCTGCTGTCTTTAAGAAACAGTACATTGACATATTCCTTTTCTTATTTTGTTTAGGTTTATGGAATCTTGCTTCCCTCTTTTCCAATCTTTGTTTGTTTATATTGATGCCCTTTGCTTTCTTCTTTCTGGAGTCAGAAGGCTTTGCTGGCTTAAAAAAGGTGCGTAGTTATTATATATTCAGTGAATGGGATATCAGAAGTGCCATGTGATGGGGGGGGAGGGTACTTGGCACTTTCTGAGTTTGGTTATTTTAATAACAACAACAAGAACAACAAGAACAACACAACAACAATAATAGAGTTGGAAGGGACTTTGGAGGTCATTTAGTCCAACCCCCTGCTCAGGCAGGAAACCCTATATAATTTCAGACAAATGGCTGTCCAGTCTCTTCTTAAAAACTTCCAGTGTTGTTCTAAAGATCAGGAAGTTTCTCCTTAGTTCTAGGTTGCTTCTCTCCTTGATTAGTTTCCATCCGTTGCATCTTGTCCTGCCTTCAGGTGCTTTGGAGGATAGCTTGACTCCCTCTTCTTTGGGGCAGCCCCTGAGATATTGGAAGACTGCTATCATGTCCCTCCTCGTCCTTCTCTTCATTAAACTAGACACACTCAATTCCAGCAACTGTTCCTTATATGTTTTAGCCTCCAGTCCCCTGATCATCTTTGTTGCTCTTCTCTGTACTCTTTCTAGAGCAGTGATTCTCAACCTGTGGGTCGGGACCCCATTTGGGGTCAAACGACCATTTCACGGGGGTCGCCAAACAAGGCTGTCCGCCATGACAAGTGGCTGACATATGACCCTGAGATGCTGCAGCCATCAAAAATACAAAATTTGATCACATGACCATGGGAATGCTGATTGTAAATACAAGTACTGGTTGTAAGTTACTTTTTTCAGCACCATTATAACTTTAAATGGTTGCTAAACCAATGATTGAAAGTCGATGATCTACCTGTAGGTTATTTTGTAATGTATAGTATTAAAAAATGATAATGAAGTAAAAAAAAAACCCTTTGTTTACATTAGAGTTATGAACGAACTGCAAGTATTTAACTATTTTTAGTATGGTTTCTACTATTGAATAAGTATAATACGATATAACTATTTTGAAAGAGGAGAAGCATGTGTATAAGCATGAGTCATTAAATACTGACAGCATTCAGATTTTAATGTGCATTAACTTGAATAATAAATTCATAATACACTTGTGACTACTGCATATTAGTATATTCAAAATGCAGTCATGCTGAATTTGATCCTATTTTCATTTTTCCAGCATTCATTTAACCTTGTCAACAATATATTCTCTTTTCCATTTTGATAGTATTTCAGATGGTCTGGTTTATCCTAGTTCAGTGATGGCGAACCTATGACACGCGTGTCAGTGTTGACACGCGTAGCCATTTGGGGTAACACGCGCAAGATTTCATGCGATTTTATGCAATTCATCCTCGGCTCCTGCACGCCGAGGATGAAAGAAATTTTTTTTTTGTTTTCGCCACGGAAGAGAAATCCCCATGGATACCTGGCGGGTCACCAGGTTATGTGGGACTTGAACTCACTAAATCTCTCCCATTATGACTACCGCCCCCCTAGAGCAACCGTACCACTACGGCCTTGGATCCAGGAAGGATGAAAGAAATACACTCTGTGCTGGAGGAACGGGGGGCGGGACGTGTGATCTCCCCCACCCACACTCACTCATTCACTGTGTCCCCGCCGCAAACTTCAGCCTGCGCCGCCGCCGACTGACAGGCAAGCACAGGCACAGCCCCTTTATCAGCGCAGGGGCTGCTGGTAAGGCGTGTGTGCCGTGCGCACACACTTCATCAGCATGGCTGAGAGTACGTTAGGGAGGACCCCCAGGAGAGGAGCGCAGGAACAGTGCGCGCCTTTCTCCAGTCAGGCCGCAATTAGTGAGTGCCACACAGTAAGGGGGACCTGTGAGCGCCATTAGCAGCAACTATTGGGGTGCCATGGACTTGTAATTGCCCACAATAACTGAGATAAGTGAGGGGGAGGCTGTGTTAGGCTAGTTAACCCCTAATTGGCTAACAAGCTATCTATAATTCTATCTGCTGTCACTGGCCCACTGATGGAGCACCCAAAAAATAAAAAACAAAGGTTAAGTAAAGGGAGTGGTAGTAGCAGTGGCTGACCCTTTCAAGAGACATGGAGCGAGATGTATGGTATTATAGAAAAAAATGGCAGATCATTTTGCGTTCTATGTACTGAAACGGTAGTAAGCAGAACGTGGAATATAAATAGACATTTTGAAACTAATCATTCCCAGCTCTTGGAAAAAAGTGAGGATGAAAGGAAGGAATACATTTCCAGGAAGCTACACCTTTATAAGAGCCAATCTAACTCCATCCTTAAATTTATAAAAGGCTGTACAAATTTAACATCTGCAAGTTTGAGCATTGCTCACTCCATAGCTCAGCATGCAAAAGCACTTAATGAGGGAGAATTTATTAAAGAAACTCTCCTAAGATGTGCGCCACTTCTATTTCACGATATGCAGAATAAAGATGCAATTATTAAGAGAATATCTGAGTTACCACTCAGTAGAAATATCATAAAAGACCGAATAATGAGACTGAACACAAACGTACAACATCAATTAAAGAGAGACATAAGGAATTGTAAATATTTTTCCATCTGTCTTGATGAAACTACTGATGTCATGTCACATGCTCAGTTGGCCATTATTGGTCGATATTCTGATAGTCACACAATGAGAGAAGAGTTGATAAAGTTAGTATCAGTTCCAACAAGTACATCAGGAAGCGAAATATGTAAGGTTGTTATGCAAACATTCTGCGACCTAAGCATTGATATCTCTAAAGTTGTGTCAGTGACGACAGATGGTGCCCCAAACATGGTGGGGAAAAAAATTGGATTTGTGAAATAGTTTACAGAAGCTATTGGACATCCGATTGTGCCTTTTCATTGTATTATCCATCAGGAGGCTTTATGTGCCAAGGCAGGATTCACTGACTTAATGACTTAATGTCAGTTGTTACAAAAATAGTTAATTTAATAGCTGCTCGCCCCCTTCACAAGCGAGAATTTTCAGCACTTTTACTGGAGGTTGATTCCACCTACAGTGGACTGCTGATGTACAATAATGTAAGATGGCTGAGCCGAGGCAAGGTTCTTGAGCGCTTTGTGGAGTGCTTTGAAGAAATTAAGGTATTTCTTGAAGATAAGGATCTGGGAAACTTTCCTCAGCTCAATGATGATAAGTGGGTCAACACCCTGATGTTTTTTACAGATCTCTCTGTTCATGTTAATGAACTGAACTTAAAGTTACAAGGTTTTGGCAAAAGTATTGAAGTTATGTTTGGATACATAAAAGCTTTTGAAAGTAAAGTAAAAATTTTCAAGCGAGATGTAGAAACTAAAACGTATAAGTATTTTCCTCGGGTACAAAAGCATTTTGAGAAGGCCAGTGCAGCTGTACGAAATGAAGTGGAACTCTTGCATATGAAGTGCCAGCATGTTTTAGACTCGTTACTTGACCAGTTTACTGATAGATTTAGTCAATTTAGAAGCCTAGAACAGACCATGAGAATAATTAAGTATCCTAATGTAGTAGTCTACAATAGTTTGGAATTAAATGGTTTCCAATGGATGCAAATAGATGATTTGGAGATGCAGCTTGCAGAATTTCAAGACAGCATCTGGGCTCAGGTGTTTGTCGACTTGAGGTCAAAGCTTGAGAATCTGGAAAGGGGCCGCTTGGAAAATCAAGATGAGTGCCACTACGAACAGGAAATTTGGAGTGCCTGGAACAGACTACCAGACACTTTTAGCACCCTGAAAAATATAGCAACAGCTTTACTCACAATTTTTCCTTCTACGTACTTTTGTGAGACCTTATTCTCAGCATTAAATAATATCAAAACCAACAAAAGAAACAGATTGACAGATGAGGTTAGTAGCGCTTGCTTGGGCCTGAAGTGTACAAAATACCAACCTTCAATTGAAGATTTAGCCAATGAAATTCAGCAACAAAAAAGTCACTAATATGCAGGTTAGTTAAAGAATTCGCCCTCCCCCTCACTTATCTCAGTTCACGGCACCCCAAACAAGTTCAATAATATCAAGGGCAACATACGAAATCGACAGATTGATGAACAAAGAAGTTACTAAGCAGGTATGTTAAATAATTTGTTTTTGGTTTATTAAATACAATTATATATTGCAATTATACATTTTTGTAGTTTAAAGTATAAATTGCGCAAAATTATGTTTTTTTGTCGAAGTGACACACCACGCGAGTTATGCTCGATTTTTTACCGAATTTTGACACACCACGCCAAAAAGGTTGCCCATCACTGTCCTAGTTCATTGCAAATGAACAGTCTACTGTCATGTGATGTATCGCAACTTTTTTGCCTTTGCGGAGCTGGGGTGGGCGTGGCCTGCGTGTGATGTATCCGTCCCGCAGTCTGCCAATTTGACACCCCTGCAGTACATTGTTTGCTTCTTACCTCTGTTCTTCATGCAAGTTGATAAGATCAATCAAGAAATCTTATTTTATAATTTCCAAACCAAGATTTCTGATTTGGGTTTCTAAACAATCTGGTACTCATAAAGCAACAATAAATCTTAACAGCATACATTTATTCAATTGTTTCTGGAATGTTTGATTTTCCGTAGAAGTTTGCAGTTACATTAAGAAATCAAACAATTTGGCAACTGATCTGAAAAATATCTGGGAGGAATCTAATGTAGATTCAATTTCTCTATATTGTTAAAGCACTAATCATAGCAAAAACAGCAGGAGATACGAATGGGAAATCTTCAGATATATTTTCTTCCTTATCTATCCTTTATCCTTGCCAATAGAGTTGATCTTTATTCCTTTCATGAAAGGGTTTCTCCAGAAGAACAAGGAGAGCCATGCCAGATATCTTTAAAAGTACATTTAGTTCAGTACAGAGTTCTGATAGCCATTATACTGAAGTCCACAAGTAGGACATAAATGGAATGTAATCTTCGCATTCATGTTCTCCCAACAACTGGGAATCGGGCATAACGTCCTTCAGAGTACGGTAAATATAAGAAGACTTTGACAGTGATTAGATGCCCAGCTATGCAGGTAGGTAGATGCAAATCCCTATATCTGAAGTTGAACTCTAAGGTGAAGTTG